GTCGACCGAAGTATTTTTTCGGTCGACCGAAAATCCCTTTGGTCAACCGAAATTTTCTTCGGTCAGCCGTGACTTTTTTTTCAAACGGTCGATTGCCTCGTTTGCTGTGCTTTCACTTAACCGTGTTTGGCACAGTCTGTGGTAATGGTCTGAAAAGGAGATTATTTTCTTAATTGGGAAGATTGTGTTGTGTTTTTAAAATGTTTAATCTCTTCTATTTAAACCCTTTCCCCTTCATCTTCCCAGTTGCCCTGACATTTTGCAAAAACCAGAGAGAGACGTTGTCTTCCTGAGAAAAATTTCCAAACCTGTTCTCTGTGTCTTTCTCTGTGGTTTTGTGTGTGTTCACTTCCCAGCTTCAGTAATCCTTCTCTTTGCCATAGGGGCTGTGTAAAGAGAGAGTCTTGCATCTTTTCTTCTGCTGTGTGAGTGAGATCTTGTGTAGATCAACTGTGAGGGAGTGTGATCTGTTGAGATCAAACTGTGTAGTGAGAGATCGTGTGGGATCGCTGTGTAGGCGAAGTTCTGGCTTCCAAACCGGGTGTGTAGTGGATTTCTCCTCGAGAGTGGGGAGCGGGGACGTAAGTCAGCGGGCCGAACCTCGTTAACACATCGCGCGTCAAGGATAACGATTCCTAACCCTATCTCACTTACTTTGATTGCATCAGTTTATTGTGGTTTGCTTGTCTTAATTTTTATTGCATAATTAGGGCCTCTTGACCCTAATCACCCCCCCTCTAGGGTCCAACAGTTTGGAGAGTGGTCACATTCTCATTTGGGTCTCGACTTATTGTGAATTGAGTCTGTTGTTGTGATTTTGTTTTACTTCGTACTGGACGTAACAAGTGAGACGTTTGGTTGGTGTTGGTCTCGGCTCAGTTTTGAGAAAACTTCGCCGAGGTGGAGAATTATAGATTTGGCGAATGGTTCGAAGAAGAACAAGTTTTGGAGCTCCGGGAATAGTTTTGGAGTTGTTCGGTCGACCGCGGTGCAAGGACAGTCGACCGAATTCATGCACAGACCCTAGAATCGAGTCTGGACTTGATGCGATCGACCGCCGCGGTCGGACCGCCATACACTGTAGGAATTTTTCTGGTTCTAACTCGTTTAATCGCGGTCGACCGCGAGCTTTGTGGTGGTCGATCGCCAGTCGAGTCAGACCCATATGTGAGTTTCCTGTTCTGATTTGGATTGGTGTTTGCTATAAATATAAATACACGTTTTAGGATTTCTTTGGCTTTGATTGGTGATAGAATTGGGGATATTTGGACCACAGAAAAGAGATATTTTCTGAGCTATTGGTTAGGATTTTGTTAGAGAGAATTAGAACTTTGTTGGTGAGATTAATTTGTGAGTTTGAGTGATTTGTAATCCCAGTTTGTACTCTTCTTCTCTGTTAGTGAAAATCCCATCCGCTTCTTACTCCGTGGATGTAGGAAACTTGTCAAATTGTAAAATTAGTTGTTTGTGTTTGTATCGTTATTTTTCATTGTTTGGTCTTCTCTCTCGGCGTTTGGTTTGATTCCTCGAAACATCGGTTTTGGCTTCCGCGCACAACATAATATTGAAGAGTTGCAGGTCCGAGTTTTCACCTCACATATTTATTTTAATGTAGTAAGAGACCCAAAACCTATGTGGACCACATATTTTTATGCATTAAATAAATAATGTTTTGCATATAGATCCAACCTGTGAACTAATTCATTTTTTATCTCACAAACTTTACAAACCATTTTTTAGACCAAATTAAAAAGGTTTCGCGCACAACAAATGATGCATAGAAATTATAAAGATTTTGTTTTGCCTATAAACCCAACATTTTACCTCTGTTTTTTTTAATTTATCATTTTCCTTATGCACCCAAAGTCTCACTCTCATTTATTTTTAAATCCGCATACATCCAAAAACACTTTTAAAGTGAAAATACTTCACCTAAAGTTTTACTTTACTTTTTTTTAAAACCTATATACCCACTTTTGAAAAGATTTGTTTCTACAAAATCAAATTTCTCCCATTTAATTTTTACACTATGGTTTTTATTGCCATAAATCTAAAGTTTTACCCAATTTATATTCAAACTCACACACTTTCAAAAAAGGTTTTCTATCTATAAACTTAAAATATTACCTCTATTTATTTTTAAAAACCCACCCTCTTTCAGAAATCACCCTTAGTCCTAAAATATCCAAATACAATACTTTGCTAAAAGGTGTAAGTTACTATATCGTATTGTCACTTTTTGCACCTTTTTCTAAGTTGTTATGTAACAGAATTCTCAAACCATTTGTCAATTTTTTTTACAAGTGCTAATGTGATAGTGTTAAAGGTAATTAGCTTTTTAATCTATAAACCTAAAGTTTTATTCTTATTTAATTTTATAATCATTCACATTTAAAACATACTTTTTTTATAAATCTGAAGTCTTACATATTATTTTTAAACTCATCCACCTTCAAAATCATCACTCGTGGACACAAACTACTCAATCATATTATTTTTAACTCATTTTGTATTTAACTGCTTGATGTAGAGTATCACTTGTTATATTTTGTCATTACTTGCACTAATAGAAAATCGAACAAACTAGACGGAACAACCTAGACGGAAATATTTCGGTCTAGTTTGAGGTTTTCTAGACGGAATTTTCGGTCTAGAATGCCAAACTAAACGGAAATATATATATTTTAATTAAAAATAAACCTAGACGGAAATTTTCGTCTAGGTTATCAACCTAGACGAAAATTTCCATCTAGGTTGATCTTAATTTAAAATAATAATAATCAACCTAGACGGAAATTTTCGTCTAGATTGTCTTTTTTATATAAAATAAACCCCCACAAACCTAACTCCTATCAGCTTATCTCCATCTGGTCCGCCCCCCCTCCACGCCCTCTCTCCTCCCCTTGCCCTTCCCCTTTGCTCCACCTCTCTCCCCCTGCCCCGCCCCCCGTCTCCCCCCGCTGCCTCCCCTCGCCCCCTGCTCACGACACTACCCCCCCCCCTTTGGTCGCCGCTAGCCCCCAGTCACACCTACCCCCCACCCCCAATCACGCCCTATAGCCGCTGGGCCCTCTTCCCCACGCTCCCGCGCTCCCCGCCGCCATCCCATTCTCTCGCTCTCCCCCTTCCGCCTGCGCACCCCGCTGCCTCACCGCGCTCCCCACCCTATTGCTCGCCCTCTCGCCATTCACCCTCACCCGCTTCCCCTTCCCCCCCATCCCCTCCCCCGTCGGCGCCGCCTCCCATCGGCTCCCCTCCTCCTCCCCCCACCCCCATCATTCCACCTTCATCCCTCTCCCCGACGCCTATGTTGCTCCCCCTCCGCCACCCCCCTCGTCAACCCCCCCCTCGCTTTCCCCTACGCTGGCTTACACTCCCACCCCTATTCGCCCCCCCCCTCGCACCCTATTCTCTCCCCCCCCCTCACACCCATACCCCCTCGCTACCCTCTCTGCCTACCCTCACCCCCTCCCCGCCCCCATCTCCCCCCGCCACCCATTCGCCGTCACTCACATCGCTGCGCCGCCCACCACCCCCCCATTACCACTCCCCTCCCCCTCCTCGCCCCCCCCCGGCTTCCACTGCCGCACAACCCATACCAGTCTCTTCGTCTCCCACCCTTCGCCCCCCTCCCTCTCCTCTTCATTCTCCAACATCTCCTCTTCTAACGTCTCTCCTCGTCTCTTCTCATTCGTCGTTCCCGCCGCTCCTGCAAGTCTTCAACCACATCCCTCCTCTCCTGCAGTCCCCATTTAGGTAAAATTTTTATCTTTTTTAAATTTATGAACTATTTTTTAAACGTATTTACTGTTTTAATTAATTAGTTATTTAGTTTAATTAATTTGTCTAATTAAGCTAATTTTAGTTTAGTTTTGTTTAATTTTAGTTAATTTTAATTTAATTTTATTCAATTTTAGTTTAATTATGTTGACAAGAACTAAAGCCTCATGACCTGAATTATGTTCTTACATAATTTTTATATTGTTTATTACTGAATTTAGTTTAAAATTCATAAATTATGATGTAAAAAATACCCGATTCATGATAGTCCATCACTCCTAATTATGATGTAAAAACTATAAGTAGGTGTGATTATTTAAGTTTATGATGTGAAAATATGTGAAATAAAAAAATTTAAAAATAGAGTGATATATAACACATTATAATTTTTAATAATGTGTTATAATCCAATTTAGATGAATGAAAAAATAACATTATTCCTTGACGTCTGTTCAATAATTACATCTAATTGTTTAGACTTATAATATAAGATAGATGACTCATATTTTGGTAGAAGACGAAGTTCTCCCGGAAATGATCATTTATTTTATATTATATGAATAAAGAATTGGTACTAAAATTCATAATTATTGGATCTGTCCTTCTCGGTCGGGTTAGGAATATAGTAGTGCATACATCCAACTTTGTATACTTTTTATATTTTCATTCTTAAAAGTTTGGGCAGCATGTATTCGTTGTTCTCTGTGTACAATAAGTGTATGTTATTCTGCATTTTGGGCATTTGCTGATATGCATAATAACATCCACACATTATACAGGAAGAACAGTGGGTAGGTGCTGTCGAAATTTTTAAAAAATAAAAATATACAAAGTATATGAAGTTGGATATAAGTACTACTATATTCTTAATGGATAGAAGCCTTCTTATGACAGCCGCTAGATTGGTATAATTAGTTTCTACATACGTTTCAGATATATTTTATGTAGAAAAATATTCATATTGTTAAATGATATATGAACGTATGTTTGATGTGTGTTATATGTATAAGAGTCATGAATGTACTAGTAGTTGTGATATTAATTGTGAGTTTCTACGTACATCATCATTCCTTATTTTTATTTTCAAGAACTACCATGGACCGCCTACGAGGAGATATGGTATGATCTTATGGTAACTTTATATTACTTTAACTTTTCATTTATAATAATTAGTAATTAGTATTAAATTATCCTAACTGAATGTGTATACAAATCTACAGGAAAGCTTCTGCCTTGAGGATTTTGAGAGGGCTTGGCATTATATTTTTAATGTCAAGGTTGAAGCGGTCCTCAAACAATGGAGGCATGAGATTAAGCACGAAACCTATGATAGGTATTCGAAGGACTGGCAGAGGTTTTTAAACCTCGACGATAAAGTTGACGAGCTTCATTTCACGACTCTCCTCATGTATTGGGACAGCGTTGCCGCCCAGGTTAGTTTCATGAAAACTACACTAAAACCTTGAGATATTCCTTAATTGCATATTTACTGAAATATACTTTTTAAAAGAATAAATCAATGAAGGGATCAGAGAATAGAAGGAAGAAGATGCATGACCACCACTTAGGCGTACACTCCTATGCCAACCTAGAGAATGGTTATTGTCGGGATACAGTATATGTCATTTAAAACTTTAAATGATCTTAATACTTAGTATGACTATGAAATCTCATAAATTTATAATATGACAGGGAAAATCAAGAATGTTGATACACTTGAAGGCAATGGCGACATATGATACTTTCAGTGATCGATATAGGGGTGAGGACAAGAATCGGGATAAGATTAAGGCAAATCTCGAGTTGGTGGTGAGCCTTATATATAACTTAATTAGTATTATTTACTCTATTTCATTGTTAATATTACGAAAAAACAAGAACACAAATAATATGGTCTTTACAGAGGAATATATGACATGTGGATCTTATGGTAACTTTATATTACTTTAACTTTTCATTTATAATAATTAGTAATTAGTATTAAATTATCCTAACTGAATGTGTATACAAATCTACAGGAAAGCTTCTGCCTTGAGGATTTTGAGAGGGCTTGGCATTATATTTTTAATGTCAAGGTTGAAGCGGTCCTCAAACAATGGAGGCATGAGATTAAGCACGAAACCTATGATAGGTATTCGAAGGACTGGCAAAGGTTTTTAAACCTCGACGATAAAGTTGACGAGCTTCATTTCACGACTCTCCTCATGTATTGGGACAGCGTTGCCGCCCAGGTTAGTTTCATGAAAACTATACTAAAACCTTGAGATATTCCTTAATTGCATATTTACTGAAATATACTTTTTTAAAGAATAAATCAATGAAGGGATCAGAGAATAGAAGGAAGAAGATGCATGACCACCACTCAGGCGTACACTCCTATGCCAACCTAGAGAATGGTTATTGTCGGGATACAGTATATGTCATTTAAAACTTTAAATGATCTTAATACTTAGTATGACTATGAAATCTCATAAATTTATAATATGACAGGGAAAATCAAGAATGTTGATACACTTGAAGGCAATGGCGACATATGGTACTTTCAGTGATCGATATAGGGGTGAGGACAAGAATCGGGATAAGATTAAGGCAAATCTCGAGTTGGTGGTGAGCCTTATATATAACTTAATTAGTATTATTTACTCTATTTCATTGTTAATATTACGAAAAAACGAGAACACAAATAATATGGTCTTTACAGAGGAATATATGACATGTGAATAATCTAACACATTGACCTAGTAGTAAAAAAATTTGCAAGTAAGTCAATTTGGTATTTACCTTGAATAATTATTATAATGAAGCTACAACTAATTTGATATTTGTAAAATTATATTTGTGCTTTAGGAGGGTTTTGAGACTGCAACTATTGAGTATGCAACAGTGTACATGTTGCAGGAGGGAGAACAAGGTGAGCCGGACTCTCACATGCTTTCTGCAGAGGATAACATCACTCTCACTCAGAACCTGATGGGAGATAATAGGTAGGGATGGTAAAAAATCAAATCAATTTGAATACTTCGTTTCTATTTATATTTGTTTAACATTATTGAAATTCGAGAGAAAAATCTAATATTTATTTCTCCCTAATAATAGGAGAGGAAGATATCCTTTGCATGATGTTGGAACTTCACCAAGGATAAGCAAAAAATCATCCATAGCATTCTCCATGCCATCTACAATAATGAGAGCAGCCCCAAGCAGTTTCAAAGCTATGTTATTTGTCCTACGTATCTCTGCATATTTGTTTCACAAGATTGACCTAGAGTTGCATATTTAGGTGACTAATGATGAGCAACAAAGTGAGGAGGGCCAACATGATGGACGATGTCATAGCTTATGTTATAAAATATTTAGGCGGTGTGATTCCCTATAGCGTGTATGGTGGTATCATACAGCTCATTGTAGGATTGAAAAATTAAAGTTTGATTGATTTATTATTTTAAGAAATGGGTTCGATCACTTGGTACGAATCCGTTACAATCACTCACACTCTCTCTCGATTACAAAGGAAGAGAACATTAATTTGACTTCTCTTTTGTTTAAAAATGGGTTCTTCAAAACAACTATAAAATACCCAAATAAATACTTTAGTTTAAACTAAACCAGAGCTTTGCTTAAATTGTTTGACAACTTTTACCATCAGTGAGTCCTGCTGCATTCTGACATATTAAGTAGGTCAGTCAGCGTTGCAAGCTATACTTACATTTCCCCCAACTTGGATAAGCTTTAAAAAAAAGAAACTGAGAGGCGATAATGTATATGAACTGCTCAAAGTCATCGCAGCACATAAATGACCAGCTACAAACCTCATGTTTAGTCAAAATTTAAAAAAACCATTGATGTAGAACCAAAATCAATTTGAGCTCAACTGCAATTGTTTCTAGCTCATCATGAGGAATATATGTTACAAAATTAAGACTCTTTGCTACTGAATCCAATCAAAAGACCAAAATTATAGGATTTCATTAATTCCTCTTTCATTATTAAAATCACAGAATAATTACCTAAAAAGATGAGACCTTGATGAGTTTGAGCGGCGTCAACGACGACGCAAGCAGCGACGTCCTAAGCGCTCGAGCAGCTACGACTTCAAGATGATGAAGATGAAGGATCGGAGAATGGATCTCATGGAGGAGGATCTCGTGGCGGCGCACTGGAGCTTGTGGAGGAGGATCAAAATCAGCACAGACTCAATCATACCCGAGAAAAGGAAAAGATGATGAAGAATGATGGAATACCTTGTAAGCGGTCACAGTTCTCGGCCACCTTGTGTGAGAGAGATGAGTGAAGGAGTAGGGATTCGTGGTGGGGGACTGGATCTCATGGAGGAGGAGCTCGTGGCGGGTGGCGGGGGACTGGATCTCGTGGAGGAGGAGCTCGTGGCGGCGCACTGGAGCTTGTAGAGGAGGAGCTCGTGGCGGCATGAGATAGATTGAACGAGGAGGATTGGGAGAATGGAGCCCGTGGAAGCAGGTGTTGGCCTTCTTATTTTTATGATGTTTAACAAACAATTTACTTTTAATGTTGTTTGTCTAGTGTTTGTGTTTTCGTATTTATTCTAGGCAAACAACGAGTTGGAGGATGGATGGAATTGCGCATTCACGATCATATCCAATGGAGGTTAGCGGAATAGTGGAGTGAAGCAATGTACATTCAGGTTGAAGATCCAAGTTCAAGCTTCATCCGCAAAGTGTACCAAGTCAAGCTTATTAAAGATCAAGATCAAACTTGGGTAATTTAGTTTAGATTTATATATTATGTGTGTTGGTACTCTAAGCTCAATCATATACACACATACACGTATTTGGTTTTGATATGAAACAATATATATCTTCATATACACTTTTGTTTGTTTCATATTCTATTGTATTTAGAAAAATATTGTGTTTATGGATTAAAGACTTAGTCACACTATTTTCATGTCTCGTATAATGTCTACAAATCCATTCTAAAGTGTTTCCAAGTTGTTTGAACTCGTTTTTGGAAAAATCAAGTTTTTTTGTTCATGTACGTGCATGTGTCCGTGCATGTTTTTACAAAACAGATACGTTTTCACAATTGGGAAATACAATTTGAAAAATTTCTTCATTCACATGTTTATCATCATATATACAAACATTTCCCCAAGTTTTACTAATTTTGGAGTTGTTTTGTTATTTTCAATTGAATTTACAAAACCGAGTTTTTAGCAGTTTTTTAGAAACTGTTTATCTGTGTTCAAACATTTATTTCTATCAACTGGGAAGTGATTTTTCAAAATTTCTTTCTCTATCATATTCATATACATGTCTAGAACCTTCTCTCAAAATTTCATGAATTTTAAAATTGATTTACTATTTTTAATTGATTTTACAAAATCAGATACACAAATTTTCAGAATCTGTCAAAACCTGAAATTGTTTGTGCACGTTACTACAGTGCGGTCGACCACCACGGTCGATCATGCTACAGTATGGTTGACCATGGCGGTCAACCGTACGTAGTTCAGATAGCAGTTTTTGAGTTTTTCTTCTCGCGGTCGATCGCGACGGTCGACCGCCAAAGTTTCTGGAATTTTATGAGTTTCGAAAGTGGCTCGCGGTCGACCGCGAGTTTTCCACGGTCGATCGCCGCTCTGTCTTGTCATTCCCAACGGTTATTTTCTGCAGCCGTTGTTTGGGTCTTTTTGGTCTTTTGTTTAGAGTTTTTGGCTGAGGTTTTGGGAGGCTATATATACCCCTTTGATCTCAGTTCTTCAACAATCCAAGAAATGTTTTTAACTAAGTTTTAACAAGGGTTTAAGTGTTGTTTAAGTTTGTTTAAGAAACTTTTAAGCATTTGAGAGTTTTAGGTTTGTGAAATCAATTTCACAAGAGCTTGAGGAGATCCTATTGGTGCTTGAGCATCCAACCATCCTCATTCAATCTCTTGATCTATTGAGAAGTTTTCTAAACTCTATTTTCTAGCTTTATATCTATTTGCTTGTTTATCATTTTATTAAAGCTAGTTTTGTATTGAGTTTAGATTTGATTTACCTCTTTGTTACACACACCTACATTGAGCTTATTGTATTTTCATGCATAGTATAATTGGGTTGGTGAGAGTTGTAACAATTGAGAGTGAGCTTACATTAAGTTCTCATCTATTGTAGAGAACAAATTATTTGTTATATTGTGAGATTGTAAAATTTTCGGTGAGCTAGAAAACCGAGTGTGAGGAGTATAGACATTGATCGGTGAACGTTAAAAACCGACATTGTGAGTGTTTGTGAACGTTGATCGGTGAGCGTTGAAAACCGACATGTGAGGTGTAAACGTTATTCGGGTGAGCATAGAAAACCCGGTTGTGATAGTGGATTTCTCCCCGGGAGTGGGGAGCGGAGACGTAGGGCAGATGGTCTGAACTCCGTGATCATTTGAGTGTGTTTGAGTTTGTCATTGGCTCATTTTCTTATGCATTTATCTTATATCGCCAATTACCTTTACTCTTGTATATTTTACCCTATCACATTTGTAGTTTGATTATATCACCCTTGTGTTATATATCCTTGCATATATTTTTATCATATAGGATATATCTCATTGTTCATATTATTTATCCTAGCTTACATATCATGTTGTATTTCATACTTGCTAGGATAACTTGTTAATAGTTTTTTAATTAACATAAAATCGGATTAGATTAGCATAAGACCCTAATCACACACACCCCCCCCCCTCTAGGGTCAATAATTGGTATCAGAGTTTGATGTTCTTTGATTTAAGGTCTAATCGCCTTGAGTTAAAGATCCAAGTTATCTTTTTGTGCTAATCCAATTTTTAATTTTTGTATCTTGCTTGCATATATACATTATGGAATTGAACAATGCATCTAGTTTAGGTTATGCTATCAATATTGCTCCTAGATTAGATAATTTCTCCTATGCCCAATGGTGTATTAGATTTAAACTTTTTGTTTAATCTAAACACTTTGATTTATGGGAAATTATAGATGATGCTTACATTATGCTCACTTCGGAGAAATCTAAGTGGAATAAAAATGATCATCAAATGTTTACAATGAACAATATTTTGTTAGAATATTTGCTAAATGCTTTTAATTCATCTATATCTAACAAGTTTGTTCATTTTGATAGTGCTTATATCTTATGAAAATTTATTGAAGCACATCAAGGGGACTTGGAGGCGATCCAAAGGAGACTTGGAGGCGATCCAACAAGCTTTGGTGGATCCGGCTTCAAGTTCATATGGAGCATCATACACACGGCCACTAGGCGATAGCCCTAGTGAGGTTTGCGAGTTCGAATCCACTAATGATTTATCTAGTGATGAACTTGCTTGTGCTAGTGAAAAATTATTGCATGTCTATAACAAATTGCATAAAGATTTTATTGATTTACAAAGCAAGCATGAAAATTTAGAATCCGATCATGAGGAGCTAGTGTCAAAATTGGATGTCATTACAAAAGAAAATACCATGCTTAAAGAAAACAATGACATGTTAATTTTGGAAAATAAAAAATTAACCATATCTATAACTAGCTTATCTCATGAAAAAGATAATGTCATGTTAGAAGTAGAGAACATACAAAATGATACTGCTTCTTTTATAAATGATTATTTATGTTCTACTTCTAAAGTTAATGCTAATATGCCTAATGATGAGTTGAACAATGTCAAATACCACATTTCCTCTTTAGATTCAACTCTAACTACATGCATTAACAATCACAAGAAGCTTATGGATATGTGTGCTAAGTCTAAGCCAAAATCATCTACTCATTATGCACACATATATAGCAAAGTTTACAAGTGCTCCATTTGTGGTCATAAAGGCCATTTATCTAAATTTTGCTATGATGCACATAAACCCACAAAGATTAATATTAATGCTCCTTGTGCATCTCATAAGGCTTATTCATCACACACACATTTACATGCACCTAAAGTTCATCATAAGCATGCTAATGTGTATTCATGTGATTATTGTGGTCGTTTTGGTCATTTGGCCAAATATTGTTTTGATTTGAAAAATAAATCTCATTTACCAAATGTTTCTAGTAGACCACATGTTTTTAAATGTGATGTTTGTGGTAGGTTTGGACATCTTACTAAATTTTGTTATGATATGCAAAAAGCTTCTAAATTGCAATATGTTCCAAATAGACCATTGTTTAAGAATGTTTCTCATTTGCGATATAATTTAAAAGAAAAATCTTTATTTGCAAATGATTCCCGTGCACGAGCTAATGGTCCACAAAAATAAATGGATCTCTTTCATTGCACAAATTACAATCGGAAGGGTCATTTGCAAGATTGTTGTTTTGACCGTGCTAGTGCACTATATGCGCCTAAGAGGGTTCATAACCCTAGGGCTTTGAGCTTAAAAGATAGGGGTCATGTCTCTAAATCTCTTGGTACCAAGAATTCTTGGGTACCAAAACAAATTTGATTTTTAAAACCAATT